ATTCTTATATTCATTTATCTGAGAATAAATCTGCTGCATTCAAAGCATCTTGCATCTGCGTAGACACATTTGATCTATTAATGACTCCAGACAGTTTTATTTCCTAAGCTAATATTTTTTTATAACCTACATGATGTTCTAGAGTGTAATAAAGACTGCTTTATGAATTAATACCTTCACAGGCAAGTAAATTCTTGCCAAGAAAAAAATCTGTACCATGTTCCTCAAATGAATCACATTTTGTACTGACTGAAGATGATTATTTCTGAATTATGTAAGTGGAATTTTTGGATTAACTTCCTATTTATTTTAGTTAAACCATGAGTAAAATTACTAAATGTGCATTAAGGATTATAAGACATCATTTCATCCCCTAGTTAAAAAAAATTGCAATTCTTCAGTTAAACTTCATACTTTTGGTTCTCAGACAAATAACAACAACAGTAACAACAACAAAAATGCTACAGAAAGAGTTAGCTTATTTTATTGCTGAAGTGGGGAGAGAAACAAACGTATTTGCCTGAAATTCTTTATTTTTATTTTGAAATACAGAATTTAAAGTTCTGGATAGAAATAGAGAAATTTTTAGGGGCAATGATCAACCCCTCCCCACTTGGACAACCTATATAGTGAATGCCTTGGACAGTTTTAAAGACTCTACTGTTAATTAGTTATGCAACTCATCTCCTGCCTAGGACTGAAATTTTCCAAGCATCAATGACTTCTATATCTTCTGATGCCCACCTTGCCTGGATGAGTCTAATCATGATCCTGCCCATGAAAGCCTCCAGAGATCTGGCCAAACCTTTTACCACATGTCCCATTGGGCCTGGATTTTTATATAGAAGTGGATATAATCTGCATATTAGTGATACCTCACCCTGAATTAATGGATGACCTCACCCAATGGTATCATGTAGATATTGAACAGGATATATTTTTCCCAGCTGGTATATTTTAGCTACTTTGCATTCTAAGCTAGTTTAGATTGTAAACATTTGGGGGAGGTCCATAGCCTAAAGTGATTTCTAGAAAGGCCTATGCAAATGAATGGAACTGTAGAATTAAATAATGATCATAAGACTATACCCTAGAGTCTTGCTGTAACATAATTACCATACTGATAATGGTGAATAGTTGTATCTATACATTCCATAAGTTCATTATGGCCTATGCCTATTGACCTTGTATTCTGGGGTGATGATTAACAGTGGGACTCTCAAAGTAAACGGGAGAACATGGGGATAGCTTTTGTCTTAATAACCCTCTCTGCAGTGTTGTTTAAAGCTGGCTTTGCTAAGAGAACACCAGCTTGGAGAAGGCTGTTTAAAGGCCAACATATTCCCAATTGGCTGCTGTGGAAAGATAAGAAAGAAGAAACCCGAATTGCTTTACTGTAATAGAAAACTGTTCAGGCTTGAAAGCACAGGCAGCTTTTCTTTTCAATTTGCCAGCTCAGGCAGGGGTCAATGAGGATATTTAAAAGGGAATTAAAAATACAGTACAGTTTTCCCCCCATTTGTTCCTACCCTGTGTGCATGTGATACATCATCACTGTAGTAACAGAATATTATTATGACCTGTAAAGGTTTTCCAGGCTGCTGATTATAACAATTGACTTTGTGAGAGATGTTTCGGGGCATTGCCTTTCAAATGTACACACTTTGCGGTCCATATAGGTAAATCTTCAGTGGTTAATATGACTGCATTTATGATAGCAATAGCAATAGCACTTAGCCTTATATACCAATCCATAGTGATTTATACCATTCTCTAAGTGGTTTACAGAGTCATCATATTGTCCCCAACAATCTGAGTCCTCGTTTACCAACCTCGACAGGATAAGAGGCTGAGTCAACCTTGAGCTGGTCAGAATCAAACTTCTGGCAGTGGGCAGAGTCAGCCTACAATACTGCATTCTAACTACTGCGCCACCAAGGCTCTTATAAAATGGTATCACTCTAAAGCAGACATGTCAAACTTGCGACGTCACGTGATGTCGCACAACATATCAGGACGCTTTTGCCATTGCCGGCAATGGGGTGGGCGTGACTTCGGGATGACATGTCCAGCCTGCGGGCCTGCTCTAAAGGATCTGTACATTTATGCACTATTATTCATGCAGGTTACCACCATAAGAAAAGTTATGGGCTTCTTATTGGCACTGCTCATCACTGTTATATGATGGCTACTCAACACAAGGTTTCCAATTATCATTCATAGATAGATTCGCCAAAATACACAAATCTTCTTCTTCATGGTTTAAGGAAAAGTATATTTGGGGGAAAACATTTTGAAGCTGCTGTGTGGCAAAGAAATTGCTTTAATGAAGAGACAATCAATATATCAGCATCTATTCAGAATTAAAGATCACCTTCCTTGCTGCTCTAAGAAATGAGCAGATGAATGAGATCTTGGGAGCTGTCTGTATTTTCTCACAAAATAGTTGCCCTGTTTGAAAGTTACCCTTTTGATCTTTCTGTTATGTGATTTAAGAATGATCACCTCTGTCATGTTTTCATCAGTTTTTCCCTTTCCCTTTATTTTTGATTCTCAGCTACTTAGCACATTCACACATAATTATGTGAATTAAACAAAAGCTATCTTCTCCTAGCCTCCTTGAAATCTGTTTCAAAATTGGAATACTTAGAATTATATCCAAACTTACTTCTGAGAATAATTACTCAGAAGTCCCGGTGATGGATCCTCTGGTAAATGTGCAAAGGACTGCCATCTTTAAGATTATGTTCCATATTCATGCATACTTGACTAAGCCATTACAGTCAGTATAAACTAAGTAAATCTATACATAAGTCGACTATGGAAATACTCCTGAGTGATAGTACCCAACTCAAGTCATCTGTTTTAATATTTGATTCAATATTGTTCTACAATATTGCTACAATTCCTAGCAATCGATGACTTGGATTGTTCAATCCTGAACAGCAAATTTGATACAATGAATATATGCAATGCATACTTAATACATTCCCAACTCTTTTCGGTTATCAGGTTTTTACTTTCTACGAGATAAATTTATCAGATAAAATTTAAGAGTGACGACGTTTAAGCAGTCCATGTGATGTTGGATCAGAGCCAGAGTCTTGCAATGTCAGCTCCTGAAAACATTTTCTTTGTGCTATCAGGCTGAATGGCTACAAACATTTAAGCAGTTAACTTACAACCTTACTGCTGACCACAGGATAAAAGAAAAAAAAAGCAGTAGTATTTTCAAACTATGGAGCAATGAATAGCTGATGCATCTATTATGTGCATCTTGATAAAATTTGCTACAAAGTTGCTATATGCATCATAATGACAATTCATTGCACTGCATGTTGTTTTATCTTTGATCTAGAGGGAATATTAATGCTTCAGATGGAAAGAAGTTTTGATGACACTCGGAGTCAAGTTTGAATACAGAACAGCCCCTGGAACATATAATATACTACCTGATCCACCAAAGAGGTTTAAAATTGCTTAGAACATACTGGGCAGTACGCCATATTTTATCACAGGTTTAGCAACCTCTTTGAATATGAAAGCAGAAGATAAATAGAATCAGCTGTTAAAGCAGTAAATTTGCTGACTTGTTTGGCAAACTTTCCTGTAGCTAAACTATGAACTATGTAGAAGAATCCTGGCAAGTGCATACTGTATGTGTATTTGGTGAAATGGCAGTCAGCCAAATCTCACTTTCCATAAAGAGGAGGTTTAACTGCTGGAAAACTCCTTGAAGTGATATGGGGTCAAATCAAAGGGCAACAAATAGTGCCCGCTGGCTTTCTAATACTTTGCTGTATTCCTTTGTAGAACAATTTGCTGTCTAAATATTACTGATCATGGTTGTTTTGAGCAATTTGATTTATACAAGAGATGATTAGAATTATTTATAATGAGAGGAAGGTAATCCTCCAACCACCTAAATTTGCTATTTTGGTTTCATGTTTTCTGTTAAAGAGAAAAAATATGGCATTTAAAATTTAGCATTTTAACTGGATTATCAGTCCAAGAATACCGAAGGCATAAGCCCTGTTCTTTAGAACAGAGGTCCCCAACCTTTTGGGCATCAGGGTCCGGTTCCATGGAGAAAGGTTTTTCCATGAACCGGAGATTACATGGTTTTGTGTGCTGCCTGCATCCCACGGACGGGGGTTGCTGTCAAGCCACGGACCAGGTTAGGGACCCCTGCTTTAGACAGTATTCTGAGCCAAGGGATTTTGATAGCTCTACCAGAATTTTATGAATTCAGACTGAAACTACTGTTCTTCACTTATTTTGCATTTTCCTGAATGCATCCTTTTTTTCTTGATATCAGACTGTTTAAAATACATATTTTAAAATGCAAAAATGCATTATTCTACAAACTTTCATTCCAAAATAAAACATGTTTGTAATACTTTAAGAGAACTTTGCAGAACAATATTTCAGATTTTCATCCAAGGGTAGGTTATTTTTTTCCTTTTCCTATTAAAGAGGATTAAACATAATAGGATGCCCTTAAGCCAACACTTATGTAACAGTGGCACAGACCAGAAATAGACCAATTTGCCTAAACTTATGTAAAGAGCTTCTCTGATACTAAAAGGAAAACAGATATGTCTAACATGCTGAACAGGTTAATCTTCCTTCTGTGCAAGAATGGAACCAAATTTGGGGAAGCCAGTCCCATGTGAAGGAGATATAGCTATCCTATTAAGTTACGGAGCATTTCAATGCCCAACATGGTATAAATGAGTGTCCTTTGCTATCTGGGGGAAATAATGTTTATGATGATCCTGCAAGCAGAGAAGGCAGCTCCCTGTGGATGCATGCTAATTTTTATTTCTATTTCTGGCTGTGTAATGAGATAAAATAAGATCCCTGTTTGTGTTGAAATTACTTATTAATTCCATTATCACTTCCAGGAAAAGATGAATTTTCAGAAATAGGTTAAATTCAAGAATCACAGATTAACTTCATTCTTCTGTTCTTATCTGACTAAGAAAATGTAAACTTACCTTCTGCCTGTTTCAATCTATTCTCAAAGAACATCCTTTGCTGCAAAAACAAAACAGCTTGATTAACAGCAGGCTAATAAACACTGTTATTAGTGAAATTATTCAGAGCAGGTAGTCATTAAAAGCACCAAGCTAGAAACTAGGAAACATGAGGCCTAGTCACATCTGAGGCATAAGGCCAGTTGGGTGACCTTGGACCAGCCACTTTTGCTCAGCTCTAGGAAGGACATAATGGCAAACCACTTCCAAAAACTTGCCAAGAAAACAGCAAGATCTTGTCCAGGAAGTTGCCAGGAATCAAGACTAACTTGAAAGCACAAACAACAATAAACGCTATTAGCAACTTGTTACAACCCTTTTTTATTTTTCTCTTGCACATCCTTCTTTTTCCACTGAAGGAGTGGAAATGTATTTGTTCTACAACAGGTGCTGGCTTGCATTTCTTTTGTTTTAGTCCTTAGGAAAAGGAAAACAGACGACGTAAAAAACGAGGACAGAGTTGCCTCCAATTCTTAGCACTACTCTTGGTCAGAAGGAAGTCATCCCAGCTACTAATAGCTTATATATTCATATCTGAGGAAAATGCACATTTAATCATCAGGACTTGGAGTACTTCTTAATTTATATTTCCATTCCCTGGTAATCATCTCAGGGGTCAAATGATAGAAATAAAAAGTTTCCCCTATGTTTCCCCTTATTTCTCCTAAGCCCCACAACAATTTCTTCTTCTCAGATAACAGAAAATGTTGTCACTTGGCAGGTCTATGGTCTGAGGTATTATTAAGTTAACTTCTGGAGAGAGAAAAGAGGGTGATGCCATCTTGGTCTATGCCTTAAGTATTAAAAATGTCTTTTGTCAGCTTTGTCCATTCTCAGTGCAGGCCCTCAGAAAATAAAGATTTTAGTTTGTTGGACAGTTTAAATAAGGCTAGCTAGTAAAGTGCCTACCTAGGGCCACAAACGTAATCATCACGGAGAAACAAATGCAACATTTTGATTGCTATTTATAAGAAAACATATTTTAATATTTTCTGTCTCACGAAGCAAAGAAAGTACTGCCTGGTTCAGAGGATGATGCACTTCAGTTAAGTGAATCTTGCCATTTGCTGCTCCATTTCAAAAACAAAATATCTAACAAAGCCCTGGATTACAGAGTTAGTTTGTTTTAAAGTTAATGTTTAAGATCAGTTTTTCATATTCTAATTTCATTGTGGCTACGCACTTTTCTTCTCTTCACATATCAGAAAACCCCTTGTTTATATCTGTATGAATAGGACATCCTGGGTTCATGTTGTACGCTGCTTATATAATTTGAAAAGGATACACTTGAGGAATTGTGTTGTGAACAAAGAGAGCTACTGCTCCAGTTTCCAGAAGCTTCCTGTCTGCTATCAGATGGCTCAGAAGATATGTGAAGTACAACCAAAGAAGGAGAACAAAATGCTTGAAACTATTGAGAGCACACTGCCCAATTTCTACTTGGCCCAGCAACTTTTATTATCAATAGCCTTTGACTAGGTGTCATCTGAAGGCTGCAGGATCATATAGGCATCTTTTACAATGCATATTCTCTTAGGAGAATTAGTACAAATCAGTACCTTTTGTCCAGATGTCTTTTTGATGAGGCATATCATTTGTTTATGAGGGAATGACACAAGAGGCAAACAAACTGTGTTTATTAACATTAATTTAGACTCACTTCTAACCTGGAACCAAAAGAAAACTGAACAGCATTGCGAAGAATACCATTGCTCCCCATAATATAGGTAAGTTTAGCTTTTGGAAAACACCAACTCTCTTACAATAAGTAGCCACCTATGTTTGCGAATTAAACCGGGAAACCTGGAAATTAATCCCAATTAAGTTAAAGAACTAAGGTTGGTTTCATAAGTACTAGACAAAAGTTCCAGAAAGGGCATATTGCAATTCCACATAAAACTGAGTTTTCTGAGCAAGTTCATATTTCAATAAACTGGATTCTTTTGTTACATCATTTTCTAAAGTTTATAGCAAACAATATGGTAAACCTTTCTGATTATCTAATGATACAGCTGACCTTGACTCAATTAAATTTTCTCAGCCGTAAAGTAAACTGGATACAAACTCCTTTTTATAGTGAAGTCTTCAAATGAACATCTACCGCTGAAAAACCAGCTATAATTTTTTGGAGGGGCATAATTGCATGTATCACTTTACAGAATAATAGCGCTTCAATACCTTTTGCTAACCTTTCTCAGGAGCTTAATTTTTTTCAAGGTTTGAAAGTTTTGGGCAAAAAGACTATATCCCTTTTTTCTGCCTTTCATGTGGAAAAATAAACAGGATCAAGAGATGGCAATTTGCCATCCACTGAAACATGCTTATTAGAAGAAAAATGCATTATTTATAAAATGCACAGCTTAAGGTGAAAAACTTTAAATTGGGTTTGGTAAGTTTTGCAATTTTAGGTTATGCTCAACCCAGGCTAAAAATATGATGAATTATTCAGCACAGAAAACCTGCCATTGGGAATAACCAGAAAGCTGATATGGCCCTTGAAATAGGCTTTCATATTATTAAAGAAAATCTTTTTAAAAATGAAAGAGCAATGCTGAACTCCATTATTTCCATTTTTTCTTCCCCCTTAAAATGGCAGCTGAGGGACAGGCTGTTGTTAAATTGTTTCATCTTGCAGCTTTCAATGGGCAACGTAAAGGTGAATTTTGTTGGCCTTAACACAAAGGGATCACAAAGAAAAGTTTCTCCCTGTTTTGTAGAATATCTTTGTGCAGGGAGGGACTGCTTCAGCAGGAACCTCACCCATCTGTTTCTACCTCACTCTCTTGGATATTATTCAAAAGCAGTGAGGCAGGGACACACTGAATATACACTACTTCTTGGCATCGAAAGAAAGGCATACAGTCGCCAATATTGCTTTCATAGAAGCCAAAAATCCCACATGCAGAAGGACTAACATTTTTAGCCTTTTTTTTCATGTTCAATAGTTTGGGTGGACTATTGGGCAGACTCCTTTTAACATTGTCATCTGGTGGGACCTGGGATACATGGCCTCTCTGAAACTGCTCCTTCGGAACAGCCTAGCCCCTGATATTCAGGGGTCCTCTACCCTTTTAACCTTCTGGAAGACGATGAAGATCTGTTTCTCCCCTAGGACATGAGGGTTTGGGAAAAGGCAGTGTATGTAGAGCAGTGGTTCTCAACCTGTGCGTCGGGACCCCATTTGGGGTCGAACGACCATTTCATGGGCGTCGCCAAACAATGCAGTCCGCCATTTTTCCCCCCCTTTTCCTTGGCTTGAAAGCCAATAGAATAGACTCTCTTGAACAGAGTCTAATTCTATTTGCTTTCAAAAGCCAATAGGAATTGTCCAGGCTGTCTCTGCCCTGCTGAACCCGCCAAAAGTCCCATTCTGCAAATGGTGCTGCACCAGTTGAGTAGTCCTCGACTTACGACCAGTTGAGTAGTCCTCGACTTATGACCGATTGGGGGTCGCGGCATTAAAAAGGTTGAGAACCACTGATGTAGAGGATTGGGGTTAGGAAGTAATGGTACTGTGGGTTTTGTTGCGAGTTGGCTAGGATTGTAATGTATGGTATGGATGCACCAGGACTACAAATATCAAGGGATTTTTGTTTTTTGAATCTCCATAGGCTTCTAGAAATGTTGATTAATATAAATACCCAGAGAAAGAGAGGGATTAACTGCACATCAGCTATTTTACCATTTTTAAAAAAATATTCAGTTTAGAATTAGGTTAAGCACTGGGGGAAATCTGCAACTCTGGATTCCTATAGTTACTGTATTCTCTGAAGTATTAATTTTGACATTTCTTGTGGTGTTTTATAAACAGTCTTTTAGCACAGAATCACAAATCTTTCAATACCATGTTCTCGTGTAAATTGCCTTGCTTTTTCTCCCATTAGTAGATTAGAGTTATTTTTTTAAAACAAAAGGTTAGCACATTTTGGGTTTTTTTGCTCAAGTTCTTAACAAGAACATGCAATGTGATTATGCATTAAGGAAGTGGGAAGAAGAAAAACAGATTCAAGTTTGATTGTAATAATTGAAATTATCCAGATCAAGATAATAGAATCATCCATGTTGGGGGATATACAAGGATTTGCAATATGTGTTTGGAATGGTAATGGGTAGGGCTGGAGCAACAAGTCCATTTGTGTCCAAGCAATTTTAAAAAAAAAATAATAAATGCAGATTTCATTATCTATTGCTTCCTTTATGATATCATAACTTTTCTACAAGAGGTAATTAATTTTCATTATTTCAGTTCTATCCTTAATACTGCCATTTTGCTTATATTAAATTCAGCTGTTCTTATTTAGTGGGATAAGATATCATCAGTAAACTAACAATAGCCAACTGTACAGTGTATCTTTGTCATGGGTGAAGTGAGTGATGCTATGGACATTCTTACATGGTACCTGGAGGGTACTGGATTGTGAAGAAGAGATTTCAATTAAACCCAGGTAAGATGGGGAGGGGATGCATCAAGGTGTTTAGAATCTTTGGTCTTGGATGGGGTTGCACTACCCAAGACAGACTGAGTGCGTAATCTGGGGGTCTTCCTAGACTCCTAGCTCCTACTTGAAGAGCAACTGGCAGTAATGGTTAAGAGGGTCTTTGCTTAATTTCATGTTATATACGACTATTCATGGTTTGGGAGGCTCTCCGTTCAGTCATTCATGCCCTGATCATCTCCTGCTTGAACTATTGCAATGAGTTCTACATAGTATTGTGCTTGAAATGTATCTTCAGCTAGTACAGAATGCAAACAATCTTGGACATCCAAAGAATGGCACAAGTAATACCTTTGCTGTGTGAGTTACATGCCAGTTTGCTTCTGGGTCCAATTCAAGGTATTGGTTGTGACCTTTAAAGGCCTTCTGTTAACTGTAAACATCAGCAGATCCATTAGCCAGATGTTCCTTGCCCAAACAGAATCCAAGCCAGAAAAAGGTAGATTAAAATCTCCTTATTTATGCATAAGCAAAGGTGGGAATCATCTTATATACAATTCAAACA